AATATACTATATTAAAAAATTAATTCATATTTCGAATTTATAATATCAACAGAGTTTTAACTTGTTTGTCTTCTGACTATTAACTAAACAATATAATAATAGGTTAAACGATAAATGAATTCATTCATTATTTAAAAAATATATGTCATCCTTTGCATGATGAATATTCCATGGATTGACTATCTATTTGGTTTGGTATCTTGAGTAGTTTTTAATGGTTAACTAATTAAGGCGTCCGGTCCCAATGTCATTTTATAGTTACAAAAATACACTTTAATGATGATGACATTTTCAGCAGAACCCTTCATTAATTATTAATTATTAATCTTAAATGTTTCTGTCTTTATTTATTTTAGTGTCATTAGTTAATCAAAATAATAACTTTAATACAATTATTTATACCTTAATAGATTTAAATAGTTGCAGTTTTTTTTATAGGTAAATAGTTTTATATAATAGACTTAGCTTTACTTAAATAATTTAAATTTAAATATTAACTCGTCTGTGTATTATTACTGGGTAGCTACTCTCCAAAAGATTTCCGTTCGTGTATACCAATATATGTTTTTTTTTTGTCCACGTTCATATGTTTATTGTAAACGTTATCGCAGATTATATATATCTTCTGATAAATTTGTTATAAAAAAAAAAAATTAAATATGAACTATTATTTTTAATGATCCAAATATTAATTCACTTTAATTAGTCTTAAATTTTACATAACTAATATAAATACTTTTTTTCATTACAGTTTATTGAAATGCAAAATGGGAAAACTGGTGCATCAGCGATCGGAAAATGTGGTATGACTCTTCGGTTGATTGTTCCAGCATCGCAATGTGGATCTTTGATTGGGAAGGGTGGCAATAAAATCAAAGAAATTAGGGAAGCTACTGGAGCACAGATACAAGTGGCCTCAGATGTGCTTCCTCAATCTACAGAAAGAGCTGTTACATTAACTGGTACAAGAGACTCAATAACGCAGTGTATATTTCACATTTGTGCAGTTATGGTGGAAGTAAGTATACTAAAATAGTATATAACTTTAACAATGTTAATAAATTATCTAAATTTAGTTTTATACACAATGAGAATAAATTCTGATCATAAATTTTAATGAACAGACCAATAGTTCATATGGAAAAAATGTGTAGCATTAAAATTTTAGTTATTTCGAATGTTATGAATAATTTAAGAATTTAAATAACCGATGGGTAATTATATTTCAGTCACCTCCTAAAGGCGTAACAATACCGTATCGTGCTAAACCTCAGATGGGTGCACCAGTTATACTGGCTGGAGGACAAGCATTTACTCTAGCAAGTGCAGGATCCGCAGCTGGTTGTGATGTAGGCACCATGATGGTAGGTGGTGGCCCATATAACGCTCCAATGCTTATGGTTCCTCCATCGCCTAGTGCTGCAGCAAGTCTAGGCTTGATTGATCCACTGGATTATCCTCTACTGAAAAATGCATTCGGACCATCACAAGTATAAGTTTTTTTTCTTCAAATTAACGTTCAATAATTATAAAAATTCACTACTGACAACTAATGTATTTTAGCTGGGAAAATTGACTGGAAATCCGTTAGCCGGTCTTGCGGCACTTGGACTTGGAAGCTTGGGAGGACCTGCGAATTCATTTAATCCAGCAGGTAAGTTAATAGTTTGATTTCTAAAATTATTTGATTAAGTTATAATTATCAATGAAATACATATTTTTAAAGCATTGGCGGCATTAGCTGGCAGCCAGTTGAGATCTAATGGTTCTGGAACCAATATTAACAATAGATCTGGAGGCGGTCAACAAACCCACGAAATGACTGTRCCAAATGACTTGATTGGCTGCATCATTGGCAAAGGAGGAACTAAAATCGCTGAAATTAGGTTGTGTGTTTAGTTTCATTGGTTTTTATTTTGTCACTTATAACTGATTTTATGATTTCAGGCAAATCAGTGGAGCAATGATACGGATCTCAAACTGTGAAGACCGCGAAGGAAGTGCAAGCACGGATAGGACCATAACGATAACTGGAAATCCAGACTCAGTGGCTTTAGCTCAGTACTTAATCAATATGAGGTAAGTACCTAGTGTTTAAATGACAGCATGAATACGATTACTACTCGTTTGTCATACCTTTTGGCAAGGACACACTTTCGCTTTTGCGTTCTCGTTCGGCTTTTTTTCGGTAGCGTTTCTGGGTCAAAACGGATAATAGGGGCTTGCATTAATCTACAGTAGCTTGCACTTGAACTCTGTCAAGTTTTATAAAGTTGTTAAATATCAGCAGTTTTCAGCTGACCCAGAATATATAGATGTGGAATACAGAGCCCGGCTTTAAAGCTGGTAGGCGTTCAATTAGAATTGGCTGCACTGTTACAGCGTGGCTATTTGCGGTCGAAATTTTAAGCAGCTTGTTAATTGAATCATGTAAGCCATTAATCCGTTTGAGACATCGTCGCTGTGATTAAATTTCAATGTATCTAACGCAACTTCGCAATGCGGTGAATATGATATTAGATGTATAAATGTATAATATAGCAGTTGATTGAATTCGTATAACATTTTAATGAATGCGCAATTTAGAATTAATAGAATAAAAAAAAAGTAATTTTCGAAATAAATTAATAACTTAAATATACGAACAAATATTTTATTAACATTTGATATGACACATATAAATATATAGTTTTTACATATATTTCCTTTTCATGCATTACATAGTTACTTACATTGCATAAATAACCCATCCCGAATTGTCCAGATGTATGCCAAGTCCCAAGACATTCAATATATAACTAGTAATTAATATTATGTAATTAAACAACTTAAAGGAACACTTAATAATCTTTAATAAAAACGAATCATATTTCATTTGATTATCATAATTTATACCTAATATATATATATATATATTATATAAATTTTTTTTTCGAAATATTCAATATAGCCAATTTGTAAATTTGATTTCCAGAAAAATGTATATGGTAAAAACACCTTATTTAAGTCAAAAGGCTGATTTTTTACAATTTTTTTAAATATTTCCGTTGGGTAAATTATAAATTATAGTAATTTATTATAGTTTATACATCACACATTATTAAAATAAATACAATAAAAAAATKTTAGATCTCTGTGGGACACGCTATATATATTTGAGAATTAACAATTAAACCTATTTATATTTAATATACAAAATAATTTTAAAATATGAATAAAAGACTATGGATTACATAACAACAATTTTTAACTTACAATAATAAAACATATTAATTGTAGTGCTCAAGAAAAATTTTGATTATGTGAAAAAGAAATCAAGCAGTTAATGGTAGAAAAAGATAGTTAGCATTTTCTCCCGYAAAGTCATCCAATTCATATAAGCTAGGTACTGAATAACTACTAATTAGAATTTCATAAGTAATAAAGTCTAAACAATAATKTATTATTACCTCAATTTCTTTCAGCTACTCCAACAGGATCTTGCAATGTAGGGGGGAAATACAAGTTTTTGTACTCTTGGCATGAATAAAAAATGTACGCCTGTGTGGTTAACTACACARAATTTCATTCTTGAAAATTATTGTATAATATGTAATTTYTTGTTTTAGTTAACCCGTGGCAACATAGGGAGGGTACTGTAGGGTCTTAAGTTGGGTAGGTTTTTGGTACACGTGTGTGTTTTTTTGGCAGAATTTCTARTGGGCACCCGTAGGTTTTTGCCAAGCTCGTGTGAGGGGGGGAGGCTCTCTTTCCAGACAGTGTGAACTGCCCGGAAAGCGAAGCCGCCCATGACCGGGATTCGTACCGACGACTAAATCCGCCCGGTAACTAATTCATAAATTAAAAATACGCACAAAACCCATAATAAATCTGTAGAAAGTTGTTTTTCACTAACATCCGATTGTATCGTAGATATATCTATTATCTACCTATATATTGAAACATTATTACTTTACTGGATACCCTTACTTTTTTTGAGGTGGGCTAGGTGTCTAGAGTATTTTGGTATGCTTAAAATTTTGATTGAAGTTAGAATTTGGCATTCAGTTACCTATATCTTCTTTTACAATATTACTTAAATATAAAATTCCACAATTTGCTAGTACCTATTGTATGTACCTTAAGTAGTTTTCTCTTCAATTTTTAACTTATTTGTATTAACTTTGGTTGGCTTAAGTCAAAAACTTAGGAYTAYTTTTGAAAATCAGAAAATCACCACATGTATACARTTGGTTAAAGACCAATTTTAACTGCACTTATAGAAACAGCGGGGTTATTTGCTTGCTACACTTGCTTAGATTGTTCAAATCGAAAACCTCCCTCGATTTCAATACAAAACCACCACAGTTGGTACTAACGCTGTATCGGTGTAAAAATATAATTTATATATATAGACCAAGCGAAATTACTAGAACACTACGATCCCTCGGATGGTTAAATCTAAAATAGTAAAACATCCATCGATTTGTTGCATAAAATCACAGCCGGTAGGTCCCTGATTAAATTTTAAAGTAGACACCTCGGAGTCTAGYGGAGTCTAGCACTTCGCTAGTTCGTTCAGGTGGTTTAGATGAACGCATCTTTCATTAAAAACCACCGTAAGTAGATCAAATGGTAAAACACAATTTTTAGTTACACTTATTGATCCGTCCAGACAGTTAAAGAAAAGTTATATTCAAAACTCGCTATCCATTCCACCATGAAAAAGTGTTTGAAAAATACGAAAATCACTATTTGAACAGTACTTTTATAACTATAAACGTAAAATGGGTAAAAATCAAAACTAAATTC